AGTCACACCAAATATTGATTTGATTTAGATTTCTCTTCTTTTTGCTCACTTTGCATTTTGTAAATTGATAAACAATTACAGTATTTATTTTTGAAAGCATTCTTACTTTACAGCATTTTTTCACACCTGCCTAAAACTTTTGTATAGTACTGTATATGAGGACAACCTGCATATTTCTTTGTAGGAATGCTATAATCAGGCTAAAGAGGGTCCCTGTGTACTCAGTTGTCTTGACAAGGAAATTTCACACAGTACCAGATGAAACAAATTTATTTAGTAATACGTGGGCTATTATGACTAGTTTGGGACTTACCAATATATTAGTTTGTTACTTATAAATGTGACCTTTAAGTTAACCAATTCTGTCTAGAACTACGCAGTGTAACATTTTTCAGTCAAGTTCATATTGAAGAAATCCAGGTTGATGTGCCTAATTTTAAAGAAACATGAACATGATTTTCCTATTAAAATGTTGTTTGAAAACATACCCTAGTATTTAGTAATTCAAGTTCAGTCAAATTCTCTTGGACTGGAGTATATAAATGGGTTCTCCTCTTTTATCATATTGCCATCGAATACAAAATCAGTGTTTCAGGCAAAATATGTATTTCTAAGTCTTCTGAAAAAAATTGAACCTTGTTTTAGTATTCATACCTACTGAGGTGGCAGCTAAGCTTACTAAAATCAGGAAATGAGATTGGAATATTTAGCTGGCATGAAGTATGGAAAATTTTTCAGTTGCCTCATTAGTTGAAACTTTTCTAAGTAAAAACCTGTTGGTGGCTATAGGTTACAATGTATTGTAGATATCAGTATAATATCAGACAGACATCTTAAGTGAAAATTAATTGCAAACTATTTTTTTTTAACATCTTTGAAAGTGTGCTTTGTTTTTTCTTTTGGCTTTTAAGCATTGAAGACCAAATGGAACAGTCATCACTCTGTTTCTGGGATCTGCTAGAAGGCAGCGAAAAAGTAGTGGTTGGTACGACCTGTGAGTAGCTATTAATAAAAAGAGCCTTTTCAGATGGTTTGTGTTATGGTGGGATCTGGCTTTAGAGGTATTACTATTCAGGTAAAATGCAAAACTGAAATAGCAATTTTTGTTACAGTCCATAGGACATCTCTACATAGCTTGGTTTTTCCATTGTCTCTGGGGAAATTGAATTTTGCCAGACTTGCAAATGCTGTTGACTGTTTAGGGCAAGGGTTTCAATCAGACATAAAGAGGGGACGTGATTAGAATTGTGGAGTTCACTAGTATCACCAATGGTAGCCATTGTTTATATCAGTTTTAACATCTATACATGGTGTGTTCTAGATAGGACATTTAGTTTGCGAAGCAATTTGAGCTTGACACCTTTGTGTTAGGGTATATTTTCTTGGTCCTGGGATATGCCAGTCTCTTCTCAGTTAATTTTTGTTCTCATTTGGCTTAACACTGGATTTTGTTAAGCTGTAACATGATTCATTTGCATTTTGCTTAGCATGTTGAAATCCACCCATTACTGGAAATGAGGCCATTATGGCTTATTCAGCAAAGCGCTATTTGAAATCCTGGTTTAGCATTGTCTGTAATGGGAGTGATAGTTTTCAGTAATGGGTTCAATACCATTTGAAAAACTCTGATTTAGGTAACTGCAAAATACATGGCACTAATGTGAAACAAATCTTTATTTTTTAAGATGAGTGGCTTTTGCCAGCCACAGGTCTAAAATTCTTTAGAAATATCACTCAACATTGAATACCTTTTCTTTTAGATAAACACCTGAAGGATTTGTTGTTAAAACTGTTAAATTCTGGATATTTTGAAAACATTCCCATCCCGTGCAACGCACCAGAAAAAGAGGAATTGAAAGAAGAAATGCCTGAAAAAACTAGACAGTTGTCAAAGCCAGAGCCTGTCAATGAATTGGGTAATGTATACATTTAAATCTTAAATTCTGACATGGTTGACCTTGTCTGGGCTTTCAAGTTAAGCTGGGTTTATCCTGGTTAGTACTTGAATGGAAAACCACCAGGAAATATGAAGGCTGTAAGCAAGACTGTGAAATTAAAAATGTCCCTGAAGAAGGCCAACTATTCCCAAGACATGGTGGTGTCTGTGAAGTTATCATGAGTCATATTTGACTCAAAGGAGACACCATTTAAAAACCAGTAACTTATTTCTAGCCTATAAGCCTTTGTAAAATGCACATGACACTCAGGGACAACATCTGCAGAAGTATATCTTTGTTCAAAAAGCCAAGATATGGATTAGGGTCTATCCATTGCACGTAATACATTTGCAATTCAAATTAAAGAGCTCTAACTACAATATGTTCATTTAGTTTGAATTGCACTAAATTACAGGTTGAAATTGGTTTAATTGCTTTGAAGTTGGTAACATAGCTTCTTAGCTAATTATCCTTAAAGGTTTCTGATTTGGTCATTTGCAGGCAGAATGGCTATATCTATGGGTAAAAAGACTAACTCATTTCTTAAAAAGGTTGTCCAAACCAGGCCAGTGTGGTATATAACTTTTTTGCCTAGATAGTGGTTTGAGAATCTTTATGTCTTCTTTCAAAACCTCTTGTAAGTAAGGTAGAAATGCATGTGTTAACTTTTAGACATCTAGGATTGCAGATATCCAAGAAGTTGTTGTTAATATAAAACTTATTTCCCCCCTCTTTCTTTTTTTTCCGCAAAAGTTTTCTGGTTTATCAATAATATCCAAACCATGCAGAGCTTAATTTCTCTAGCTTGGTAGAAGGGCCCACAAATACTATGCAGCAGGAATAATCAGGATTTTTTCATAATTTTTCTTGGTTTTTATTGTTTTTATATGTAAGCTGCTCAGTGTGTCATGTGGCTCCTAAATTTAATAATAATAATAATAATAATTTTGGAGCACCACTTGAAGACCATCAGCATTGACAAAATCACCATCAGCCAATTGCAAAAGGCAGCTTTACTTGGAGCAGCTTATATCCTGCAACAGTACCTTTAACACCATCAAACAATATCTGCCTATCCCAGGTCCTTGGAAAGGACTCGCTAGATGGACAAAAATGCCAAATCCTGTTTAAACATCTGGCTGAATGTGCAACCAACAATAATGGCTTATGTTTATAACTTTGCTTCACAAAGGAAAATTCAAGAGCAAAACCAAGAAAATAAATAATACCAATTGTAATTGGAGACCTTGGAGCAATATCTAAAGGACTCCCTCAATATTTGGAAATTTTGAATTTATCAGACCTGAACATCCTAATTTTACCAAAAAAAAAAAAAAAAAAAAACCCCTGCTTAGAACTGCCTACAGTGGTACTTCGGGTCACGAACTTAATTCGTTCCGCGACCCGAAACTAATTTTTCCATAAGGGTCAATGTAAATACAGTTAATCCGTTCTGAACCATATGTTTTTTTTTTTAAACCACAAAAATATGACACAAAGTACAGTACAGTATGAAGAGAGAACACTAACGTTGCTTGAGGTGTGGAGGACAGGAAGGTGGGTGGGGAGGTGATTATTGTTTGGAGTCCCCCTCCCTACAGGAAGCCACGACCACGTATGTCAGCAGGGAAAATGGCCACGGATCCTGTTCGTCCCCCTATGCAGAGTTCACGAACGGAAGCAAAATTTTGTGAACAGTGCTGTTCGTGACCCGAATTGGTCGTGAACAGAAGCGTTCGTGACCCGAGGCACCACTGTATATCCTTAGATGCTATCTTAATAATTCTTAGGTCCTTGCTTAGGACTCGAGTTAAGTTTCCACCAGCTTTGTGAATCTAATTGTAGATTACCCATATAATAATAACAGTACTGTAATAAAATACTGTAATATCAAATATATGCACCAGCTCACTGCAAGAAACAAACCAACTGATATACAGCACAGCTGCAGTTATAACTGAATACCTTGGATGAAAAATCAACAAACAAGAAAAAAAGTCAAACAGTTCACCACCAAAATGGAAGATCAGGTTGGAAAATGATCAGCATGCTAAGATCAGATGCAAGCAAGCTAGAACAGATGAAAGAGAAGAAGCTGAAGAACAAGAAGACCAAAGAAGACCTGATCAAGAAATATCACCTGGAAACAAGGAAGATCAAGGAAGCACCGGAAATAATGAAGCAGCGAATAACAGCCTTAGCCAAGAAGATCAGCAGATGCAAAGCTTGAATTGCACGCTACAGGCAGAATCTCCAATTTCAGTCAAATCAGAAACGTTTCTACCAGTCCATCAATGGAGACACTGCAATGAACACTTGACGAAGAAGCAGTGAAGTTCTGGGCACAGCTGTGGGATAACCCAAAGAAATACAACAAGAATGTAGCTTGGATAAAGGAGATAGATAACAGCAGAAATGCTGGAGAAAAGGGCAGAGAAGATCAAGAATTGGTCAGCACCAGGTGAAGATGAACTGCATGGTTTTTGGTTGAAACA